ATGTTCTAGGAGGAGGAAGGCAATAGACAAATGAGGAAAATCATATGACAAGTCAAGAACAATAACCAGAGGAATGCCGGGCAGGGGAGTGTTGCAGGCTTAACTAGTGCAACCCCACTGAAGAGTTGGCCTTTGAGTTAAGACCCAAAGGAGGAGGAGGGAGGGAGACATCTAGGGTAAAAACATTCCAAGCAGAAGGAATAGCACATGCAGAAGTGCAGAGGTGGAAGCACGCATGGGGACATGGAGGAGCAGCCCCAGGGCTGGAAGGATGAGCAAGGGGAAAAGTAGCAGAAGATGAGACTAAAGTCATAGAGACCAGATCACTTGGGCCACTTTGATTACTTTCTGCTTTTATTCAGAGTGAGATGGGAGCCATTAGCATGTTTGAGCAATAGTATGACCTCACCTGACTTGTGTTTTATTAGACTCCTTGTTCAATTAGGAGCAGGGACTCAAGTCAAGGGTCCATATTAGTCCCCAGGCAAGGTGTCACAGATCAGGATAGAGATTGGAAGAATGTCTGAAATATCTTCTGAAGGTGGAGTTGAAAGGAGTTGCTGATGGGAAATATAAGAGAGAGAAGTCAGGGATGAATCCCGAGTCTTCTGTTCAGACACCAGGAAAGATGGAGTTGCCATCAACAGATGAGGATGGTTTTCAGGGGGAAAAAGAGAGGGACTTTCACCGTGGACATGTAAACTTGCTAATGCTTATTTGATGTCCAGCTAGAGATGAATGTGTGAGTCTGGAGATCAGGGTGGATATCTGGCTTGAGATTTAAATTTGGGAGATGTTAGTGTATGGGTTGTTAGTTTATTGAAGCTCTAAAGCTGGACATCTCACATGCAGTGAGCTTAACGAAGAGGTCCAAGGACTGGGCCCCCCTGCTCAGAGGTTGGGAGAAGAAGAGGAACCTGCAAAGGACACTGAGAAGGAAAGACCAGGAGATTATTAAGCTAAAAACATTATTCCCAGCCTGTGGAGTTCTCATGTGCCAAGTGTCAGTGTGGGGAATGTTCTCATTTGGTAGGCTGGGAGCTGGTGTAACTATGAAGCTTGAAGAAATATTTTAGCCAGGTTTGGGGGACTGTCCCTTTGGGATGGTTGCCAGGCTATTGTTGATTTTGTGTGATGTTGACAGGGGTTAGTTAATGCTAGTCTTTCTAGTCTACTCAGGTAGTAGTGCTACTTCCTGGCTAGACTTTTGTACACTGTGTAGAACGAACTGTTCTCTGTTCATTTTTCAAAGTCAGCTCTGTTCATCACATACCTACCCATCTCTCCATCTGTTATTGATTAGGCTTTTTTTTTTTTTTAACCATCTATATTTTTGAACCATCATTCTTTATTTATTTGTATATGGTGCTGAGAATCGAACCCAGTGCCTCACACATGCTAGGCAGGTGCTCTACCACTGAGCCACACCCCAGCCCTTGATTGGGCTTTTTAACAAACAGTCCCCTGGATGTTTGAATCCCAAGTTATTATTCCCTGTCGTTCTCAGATCCTGATTACCTAAGACTAGAGTGCTTTGCATAATTTGATCTTTTAAAAATTTGTCTTGCCTTGGCCTCCCAAGTCATTGGGATTCTGTAATCCCAGTGTGTGCCACCACACCTGGCCACAGTTTGATTTTCTGCTCCTCAGTGGAGGGTTGAACAGAAGGTTCTTTTTTCAACTTTTATTGAAAAAAAGGGGAAACTTTTCCAAAATGCCCAAATTTATTTTCCTGCCTTAGAAGTTCCAGTCCAAGGATCAGATAGGAATCTGTCTTTGCTGGTTCAGTTCAGCTGCATGATCCAAAAAACGTTTTATTGAGAATCTCATAATGTCAGGTTCTCTGAAGTTGGGGGTGGGGATGCACAGTTGGGTAACCAGGTCCCTGCCTCAGGGTACCTGTGTTTTTGTGAGCATTAATCTGATCACTGGCAGAGACAGACTAGAGAAAGAGTTATGCTCCAGAAGTATGCCTGATACTGCTGATTTGGTAGAGAAACATTTTTTAACTCATTGTATTCTCCCAGCTTATTTTCATATCGTTTGACTTGGCAGCAGGCAGGAGTCTTTTGGCTATAACATATAGAACTCATTATGAATTGGCTTACATCAAAGAGGCATTAAAAAAAGTTCTATATTGGCAAAAAAAATTAGGAGTAGAGTTGAATCAGAGGACTTAAAGATGTCAATGGAAGCCAGGTGCAGTGACACACACCTATAATCCTGTCAACTCAAGAGACTGAGGCGGGAGGATTGTAAATTAGAAGCCAGCCTCAGCAACTTATCAAGACTTTTAACCTTGATAACTTAATGAGACCCTGTCTCAAAATAAAAAACAAAAAAAGATCTAGGGATGGAGCTCAGTAGTAAAGTGCCCCTGGGTTCAATCCCTAGTGCCAAAAAAAAAGTTAGTGGAGCCAGAGTGGTGGTGCATGCTCATAATTCCAGCAGCTCAGGAGGCCGAAGCAGAAGGTCGAAAGTTCGAAGCCAGCCTCAGCAAAAGTGGGACACTTTTGTGTAACAGTAAGACCCTGTTTCAAAATAAAATACAAAATGGGGTTGGGGATGTGGCTCACTGGTTGAGTGCCCCTGAATTCAATCCCCAGTAACCCCCCAAAAATAAATAAATAAAAGTAAAAGGGGCTCATGATGTCACTCAATGGCAGAGTGGGTTTAGTTCCAGTACTGGAAAACAAGAGTGAGAGAGAGATCTAAGAGGTGCTGGGGATGTAGCTCAGTGGTATGCTTAGCATACAAGAAGCCCTAGGTTTAATCCCTCAAATCAAAAAGCAAACAAAAAAGATGTCATTGGGACTCCCTGTTTCTGTTTTTTTGCTCTGTCTTATTTCCTTTCTCAGCTCTGCTGTCCTCTGTGTTGGGTTTGTTTTCAGGAAGCAAACATTTTTCCTATGAAAGTCCTCAGGCTGATTCCCATTAGCACCAGTGAATCATGTGTTTGTCCATGGAGACTGCACAGGACGATGCCGGGACCTCATCTTCTGAGCAAAGGCTACTGTGTTAAGTTTCAGGCTAAGTTGCTATAACAAACCAGCCCCAAAATACAGTGACTCAGACAAGATGGGCATGTCTCTCTCCTTGACATAATAGTCCAAAGGTAGGGGGAAGTCCAGGGTAGTCTGTGCTCCATGAGCTCACTCAAGGACCGAGGCTATTGGCTTTGCCTTCTCTGTCCTTCTCTAGCACTGGGGCTTCTGCTCCAGTATCTCCACCTCTCAGGAAATGGGGAAAGGGAAAGAGGAAGGAATGCACATTGCTTTTTCTTATTAAAAAAAAAAGTGAATTTGTGCATATAACTTCCATTCACCTTCTTGCCAGTGGCAGAACCTCAGCTGCACCTGGCCATTTGGTGTTAGGGTGGGAATGGTTACAGATGCTGGCTGTCTGAATTGCACTTTGTGAGGTCTTTTGTAACTGGTGGATGTGTCCCTATTGTCAATCCTCTAGGTGTGGCTATAGAGGAGGCTACATGGAGGTGATCAACCTCCACCCTGAGATCAAGGGCCAGCTGGTGAAGTTGCTCTCAGTGCGTCTGTGCCCACCTGTGTCTGGACAGGCAGCCATGGACATTGTTGTGAACCCCCCAGTACCAGGAGAGGAGTCCTTTGAACAATTCAGCCGGGTAAGTCTGCTGTGACCTGCATACATTACAGTTACTATCAGAGTCACAGGTGAATTCCTTCCATGGCGGGTGGTTGGGTTATCTCCAGGTGGCCATACATCTGCTGGTTTGTGAATGTCTGTGTTCTCCAGGGGACACTCATGGTGCCTCCTGGTTCTTGAACTACCCTCACAAGTTGGTTAAGCCTGAGGATGCAGAAGGGCTTATTTTGAAGTGGGAGGACTATAGCTGCATGTGGGTAGACCCACCCCTGCTTCCTCTTCCTTGGCTGTGAGCATCCAGATGGGAAGGCACCCGAAGGGAAGTTCCTTGTGTCCTGATAACACTCTCAGGGGATTCTGTTACTGGGCTAAAAAGAAGGGGACATGGAGGGGAACAGTATCAGTTCTAGGCCTTGGGACTATCCCTGGCCTATCCAGCTCCATGCAGTCTAGTCAGGACCTTTCTTTTTCTTTTTTTTTTTAAAGAGAGAGAGAGGAGAGAGAAAGAGAGAGAGAGAGAGAAAGAAAATATTTATTTCTTAGTTTTCGGCGGACACAATATCTTTGTTTGTATGTGGTGCAGAGGATCGAACCCGGGCCGCACACATGCCAGGCGAGCGCGCTACCGCCTGAGACACATTCCCCAGCCCAGTAAGGACCTTTCAACTGTGTGACAAAAGCCCAACACTCACTAGTTTGAACAAAAAAGGAACTTATAGAGCTGGGCAAGGTGGTGTGCACCTGTAGTCCCAGCTACTCTGGAGACTGGGGCAGGAGGATCTCTTGCGTCTAGGAGTTCGACACCATCCTGAGCAACACAGTGACACCTCATTGCAAAAAAAAAAAAACCACAATGAACTTATGGGCCAATTAACTAGAAGTCAGTTCCCAACTGATCTAGTCTCACATTTTTTTTCCTTTTCTTTTAAACTGTGATAAAATATACACAGCAAAAGATTCATCATTTTTCAGTATACAGTTCTGTGGCATTATTGACATTCACATTATTATGCAGCCACCTCTACCATCCAGCTCATAACTTTTTGTCATACCTATTAAATAATCACTCTTCCTCCCCCCCAGGAACCACTGTTCTACTGTCTGTTTCTGTGAATTCACCTGTTCTACGTACCTGACACAGGTGGAATTATACAATGTTTGTTCTCCTGTGAGTGGCTCATTCCACTTAGCATCCCAGGTTCATCCATGTGGTAGCCTGTGTCACAACGAATGGCTGAGTTGTGTCATTGTACGGATATACCACATCTTGTTTATCTGCTCGTCTGTAGGCTCACACCTTTTTACCCCGCTTTCCCGCTGTGCTTACAGAAGTCCTGGATGACTCTGTTCCAACTCTGGGCATGTGTCCAGCTCTGAACCAGTCACTGATTCTGCTTTGCTTCACCTGGGTCATGTGTCCCCGTGCATACACATGGACTGAGAGTGTGTGGGGGTGTCCTCCCAAATGAAGAGCCCTGCTGACTTCAGAAGGAGGCCCGTGTCTACTAGAAGTATTTCTAGGATATTCCACTCAGAGCCAAGTCCATTTGACTGATAGGCAGGGACTGGTTTTGCTCATTTTCAGAAATGACATCCTCATATAAGAATAGATCCTATGACCAGGCCACTCAGGATCTTCCCTGTGGCCTGAAACTCCCATGAATTCATGTGCCCCGGGGCGCATGGCAGTTTCCTGGCCTGAGAATCCTTGGAAAACTTCATGTAGGAATATGTGTTTCACCCACTTGTCTGATTGGCTGTGCTCGTGCACACTCAAGCTCATCTTTTGTCAGTCAATTCAGTTACCCATAATGTTGAAGGGATGGCTGTCCTTGTGCTAAGATGCTCACTTCTGTACTTTCCCTGTCTCTCATCAGGAGAAGGAATCTGTCCTGGGTAATCTGGCCAAAAAAGCAAAGCTGACAGAAGACCTGTTTAACCAAGTCCCAGGAATTCACTGCAACCCCTTGCAGGGAGCCATGTATGCCTTTCCTCGGATCTTCATTCCTGCCAAAGCTGTGGAGGCAGCTCAGGTCTGGGACGCGTCGTGGCTGGGCTTGCTCTCTCCCAGGGTTCACTTGAAACAGCCAGGTCAGACTTCCTGCCTTGGAGAGCAGAGATGCTGGCCCTGGGGGCTCTGAACTCTATGGACTCTCAGCCAGATACTATTTACTGGGTAAAGATGGCATTTTCTCAGATGCCCAGACCCAGCTGCAAGCTGTGGTGATGGGGAAAATATGGCTTCAGCCCCAGGTGAGAGGAACTGATTTGGGCTCTGTTAACACTGCTCCTAAGGGAGGTACTTGGTGTGGTGTGATGCTGGGGGAACAGAAGAACAGAAGAGCCATCTCCTCCCCCAGCCACTGTGTCCTGGAACAGCACTTCCCAAACTTGAACATGTACTCCAGTCACCTGGGTTCCTGTTGAAATGCCAGTTCTGGTTTCATTGCATTTCCAGCAGATTCTGAGGTGCAGCAGACCTCACTTTGAAGAGCAGGGGCAGAGCGGTGTTCCTTTTCTTTTCTTTTCTTTTTAATAACTTTATTTTATTTGGTGCTGAGGATCAAACCCAGTGCCTCATGCATGCCAGGCGAGTGCTCTGCCTCTGAGCCACAGCCCCAGCCCCAAGAGCAGTGTTTCTGAAAGTGTTGTCCTCACCTCACCCCAGAACCTGCTGAGCACCGTGTGGCTTAGCACATTAGGAGGCCACCATCAGTGCTTGTTGAGCAGCTACTAGGGATGAATAGAAAGGAAATAGGATGGTAATCCCTGATAAAGTACTGAACTGTCTCAGCTCCTGGCTGGTCTGCAGTAGCCTTCAGGTGTCTGATTCTCTATGCCAGCCATTAGCACTAGCTCAGGGTAAAAGGGCCCTGTCACTGGAAAGATAACTTGCTGTTTATGTTGTATTTGGTTTATAGTTTTCAATGGCGTGTTGGTACTGTATAAAGCTAGGTATGATTCTAAAGTTCTACCCTGCTCCCATAGGCGCATAAAATGGCCCCAGACATGTTCTACTGCATGAAGCTACTGGAGGAGACTGGCATCTGCGTTGTGCCTGGCAGCGGCTTTGGGCAGAGGGAAGGCACCTACCACTTCAGGTACGACACCCTGTGTACCAGGCAGATCCCAGGTTTGTCCAGGGAAACATAGGCTCCTTAACATAGAGCACAGGATGGCTGACTTCAGAGCCTGAGAGGGATGGAGCCATACTCCCCACGCATCTCACCCTGTTCAGTCCAGTTGTGAAGCCAAGCTGACCCTCTGTCCAGGGTGACCCTCAGTCCAGTGGACTCCAGGGTCACCTATGAGAGAGATCTTCCTTCACTATTCTTTGTGCCCTCTGCTGACTAATCTATCACATCACCATCAGAAATGTCCCAAGTAGTGTTTTCTTCTTTATTTTCCTGTGCTTTAAAGTCTATGACAGCAGCATATAGCTTCCAGATGCCTAGGACAATGCCTGGCACGTAATAGATGCTTGATAGCCCCTTGTCTACACCGTAAGCCTGCTAAGGTGCAACCCGCCACACAGTACAATTAGCTGTGCTTACTGTGCAGCCTTTCACAGACGTACCCTGGTGCAGCTCCCTGGCAGATAGGCATGCAAATTCCCAGGGCTGAGCCAGGTAGAGCAGTTATAAGGTTTTCCTGCTGAGGTCCATTCTGTTCAGAACAGCATCCTTTCCATGCACATTGCTCTCAAATGTCTCCTGTGGCAGATGCTAAAAAAAGAAAAGTCATGAGCCATTGGCACCTGGAACCAGGTCTTCACTGTCAAGGTTGTGGGTGGTGTTCCTCAGATGGAGAAACCATGTCTTATTGGCCTGTTCTTAGTAAGACTTACCTTTGCAATTCATGGCCCATTCAAAAGTCCTGGGGTTGGGGCATATGTAGCTCAGTGGTAGTGGCATACCAAACCAGCCCTGGGTTCAGTTCTCAACACTAAATAATAAATAAATAAATAAATAAATAAATAGTAGTATAATCAAGAAAGTTGTTTATAGGGTCGGGAAGTGTATTGATGGACTGGGGGGAGATAGTAGCTATGACAACGTGGAGGGAGAGCTGTGAATGGAAGTTGTCTCACTGTTAGTCTGACTGCTAGAGGTTTTAGAAAAAAAAAAATCATCTAACAGGAGTATAGGAAATACCAAGAGTCATGCCCTAAAATGTGTGTACACTAGTCAAAATGTGTTGCAGACCTTCTGCAGAAATGGGTAAATGCATCTTAGCCTAAATGTTGCCCCAGTTTATTGCTTTTGTTTGCATATATTACTTGGGTGAAAATATATATATATGTATGTATGTATGTATACACACACACACACACAAATATAAAGGAGCCGGGTACAGTGGTGTGCACCTGTAGACTACTGGGAGGCTGAAATAGGTGGATGGCTTGAGTCCAGGAGTTCAAGACCAGCATAGGCAACATAGTGAGACCCCATTTTGAATGAATGAATATATGAATGGGGGAGAGAATGGCCCCCCACAAGTGCCAGGTACTATGCAAGCTGTCAAAGAGGACAAGTCAAGCCTGTCCCTCTCCGTGCACCTTACCGCCACCTCCTTGTCTCCACTCTGATAGAGCAAGATGAGCTGCTGGATTCATTCCTGTCTCCTTTTCTAGAGCAGTCAGGCTGACACTGTTCTCTTTCCTGACAGAATGACCATTCTCCCTCCAGTGGAGAAGCTGAAGACAGTGCTCCAGAAGGTGAAGGACTTTCACATAAAGTTCCTGGAGAAGTATGCGTGAGGATGCCTCAGGCCCCAGGGGAGACCCCATCTCCAGGTCTCCCCCCGCAATGCCGCCCAGGCCTCCCCCACTGACTCTGCCTCAAGGTCTCACTGAGGCCACTGGTTGTGTCCATCGTCATTTTGCCCAGGAGACTTCTTTCTCTGTGCCTTGGTGTTGGGAGCACTTCTCTTCTGAGCAAATATGAATTCTCAATGTCTCAAAGGCTGTTTTTTTGATGCAACCAAAGCAGAGGGGTCTTGCTCAGCAGATGTGGCCAAGTTCTCCAAATCATCTATCATTGCTTTTGGAAAGTTCCCTTGGGTTTTAAACAACCAGGGTGTGTCGGATGAGATGTTTTAGATCTGGAGAAACAGGTTATTGGGAAATGTATGACAACCACGGTGAGGACTGGAAGCCCAGAACATCTAATGTGATCTATGAAATAAAACCCTTAGTGGTGTGAAAATGTAGTCCTTCAAACAGTAAAGCCTGGAAGTCCAGTGGGGACTCAGACAGGGTCCATCATTCTGGCCATCTCAGAAAAAAACCATGAGGGCAGTAGCACACAGGACAGGTTGCCAGGCTAGGTTGTGGTAGATGCTGGGGACGATGCCCAAGATTAGAGGTCCTGTAGGGAAGAGTGGGTGTAAGTCAGGTACCTGGTTGAGCCAGGTCTCTGCTTCTGAGCAAGGGGGATTGAAGGGCTTTGACGATGAAGGGGTCTCTTGAACATGCTAGGCTGAGATCTTGGTCTGAGAGGTCTCCCTGGACTTCAGGGACACAGGGCACATAGCCCAGCAATATCCTAGTTTTGAGGAGAGGGTCTGCCTGTTGGCTTGTGGATCTCCCCCTGGTTACCCAGTGACTGTTTTCTCCCAAGGGCTTGATTGAGTCTTTACACACATCGCCCCCTGCTGGCAGCAGCAGAGATAAGGAAAGACTAAAAATGTCCTAAGCCGGGAAGGGATCCTTAAGGACTTGACCAACCAATGACAAGTCAAGCCCCTGTAGTTTCTTCAGTTATTTTAAATGGAATTAAAGTCCATTTTGTAGCTCTTAATTGGTTGAAGTGCCTGGTAGCTTGCTATGGAGGAGTGAATGCAATCTGATTTGTTTATTCAACTGAATTGAAGTGTTTTAACTTAATGCAAAGTGTTTTGCCTTCACATTAGCTGCTGCCTCCCCTCCCAGCTCTGCAGACAGGGACCGGTAGCATCAGTCATCTCTCCAGGTCAGGAAGGTATCATCTACCAACCATGCCCCTTCCCTGGCATTAGTAAACCTGGACCAGGCTTGACCCACACTCCAGAAGCTCAGTACTCCTATCCTCCTCACCAGGCACCCTCCCCCTTACCATCTGCCTATTCCAGGAAGTTAGGGAAACCATGGCCAGCTCAGGAGTTTGGGGACCCAACAAGTCCCAAAGTGGAATTGAAGGAGCTGGAGAGAGAAATCTGAAGAATAAGGAGTGAGGTTTGAAAGCAGCCTCCTATGCTACTACTTCCACACTGGGTCCTTCCTTGCAGGGGAACACCATAGAAAACTTCAAACGGTCATTACTCATTAGCATTATAGTCCCTGTGAAGAAAGCCGCCACAATCCCAAATAACAAAAGGGAATGTTTTGGCACTTTTTCTTCCTTAAAAAGTTGAAAAAGTTGCACTCATGCTTGCCGTATGCTATATAAACCAGGATGTGTCCCAGAGTCATGAGATTTCTGGTAGAAAGGTTAAATAGTAGAGGCTAGTATATTTTTTATATTTTTGTAACAATTGCTTTTTTCATGGGGGGAGGAGGGGCTAGTATTTATAGTCTTAACAAGTCCAGTAATTTTTTATAAGTCTCTTCAGATTATAAATAACCCCTAAAAACTTTACAACGTTTACATGATTTTTTAAAAGACGCCATATATACTTGGTTTGCTTTTAAAAAAAATGAATAATAAGGTCAGCTAGTTTAGGAGGCTAACTTCAGGTAGGAAAGCCAATCATAATTAATTTGATTTTCTGCAGATTCTATTCTGATGCCTTTCCTGTTCCGGTACCATCTTAGAAAGTTGATGGTCATTTGGGGTTGCACTTTGTATCTACACGTGTGCAGTTTCTGTTGTTCACCCAGCTCTGCATGTGGGTGATGCTGGGGAAGCTTATGCCAGGCTGTCCCTTGGCTGGTCTGTCACCTCACATCTTGAGACTGGGCTCATTGTTTCTGTTCTGATGTGTGGAGGTTTGGGGAGGAGCAGACACAGACATCTCCTGACAAAGGTACTTGATGATAACTCTGCTGGAAGTTTCTAAACAATAAAATATGTGTCCAAAATGGTGACTGTGTTTAACTCTCCTCACTAATTTTGCTTTTGTAATGTACATTCTTATTGCAATAACAAGCACTTCATCTTACACACTATACCCTTCAGTTACAGCTTCTCAGTTTCCTTTTTGTCCTAGGGTTCCACCCTAAGGACATTAGGACCTTGAGCCACTTTTTCTTTCACTTGAGGTGGAGAAACTTCATGCATCCTTTGAGCTGGGATGTTATTAAAAATGAATGCTGAGGGCTGAGGTCGTAGCTCAGCTGTAGATCCTCAGCCTCACATAAAAATAATAAAGATATTGTGTTCATCTAAAACTAAAAATATGTATATTAAAAATAAAAAAGAGGGCTGGGGTTGTGGCTCAGTGGTAAAGTGCTTCCCTAGCACGTGTTAGGCATTGGGTTGGATCCTTAGCACCACATAAAAATACATAAATTTAAAAAATAAAGGTGTGTCCATCTACAACTAAAAATTTTTTAAAAAATGAATATGGAGACCTTTGTTTTCTGGTGAACATGATGGCATCTTTCTGGGGCATGGGTGTGTAGGAGGAGCTGGAAAGGGACATTGTAAGGCCATGGACCACAGGGGAGTTGTCTATACAAGGGTTGCATTAATTTTCCCCAGGTTTCCCATATCCACACTGGTTTTGATATGTGGTTTTCAAACTTTTTCTCCCAAATAAAATTTCTATATCTTTATTAAAGAAAATTTAGAAAATTTACAAAGAAAAATCAGGACCCTCTTTCTTGGAATCATTAGGAACCTACTCCAAGTAGCTTAAGCAGCCAAGAGAAGCGTGTCGCCTTATGTGACTGGGAGGGAAGCTGGCTTGGCTTCCAATGTTCACTCTTTTAAAATTATTCTTTATTGGTGCATTATAATTATATGTCATAGTGGGATTTAATTTGCCACAGGACCTTTCCAGAGAGATGGAGTGGTGTGTTCAGGTGAGCTGAGGGTTATTGCTGGATGATAACCAACAAGATCGAATATACTCTGCATCTTCCCACTGTATAACAAAAACTGGAAACAGATCTCCCTGTCTCAGGAGTAAACTTGGCATTGTTTACCACACAGTGAGTCTATCAAATAGAGATTGAAAAAGAGTTCTTATTCTAGATTATTTTCAACATTGTTTGTCATAACTACAGCTAAAAAGCTTTCAGCAAATATTTCATGAAGACCCAGCATGAGCCACGGACTTCAAAGGAATAGCAAGTCAAAAGCTAATAACAGAACAGGGACGAGAGTTGGAAGGGAAAGAGAGAAGGGAAATTGCATGGTAAAGGAAGGAGACCCTCATTGTTATACAAAAATTACATATAAGAGGAAGTGAG